ATATATATATATATATATATATTTCGTTCAGTAATGTAAGGGAAAATAGTGAAGTTGCACTTTCTATGACATTATTCGATAATGATGATGTTGATAACTTCATTTTTATATCATCCTAATTTTTTAAAAAGTCTAAAACTCTTCAGTTGCCGTGGATACGGATCAAGAAAGTGTTTCCACTAATAATGTTGGTTTGAATCTTAGTTTTGATAGTTTCGATGGAGCTGTTGCTGTTATCGAACAAACACCAAGTGCAAATATTTCTGTGGCAGCAAGGTTAAATTTCCGATAATTACTTAAATATGTAATCTTGAGTTATTTTTGCGATAAAAAATTGTTGAGGATTTTTTCCAATGCATATGATATTTATGTTCTATTCAATGTCGTTAAAATTTTAGCACATGCGCAGGAGGATCACAGCCTGCCCTTTTTGGTCGATATCGTGAATCTTTTGAAAAAACTCGATGCGATGAACAGCGTGACACTAGTTCATATCCTCGAGAATCCGTCGGATCTTTTGTACAGAATGATTCTGCGCCAAAGAACACTAGTAATGCAACTCCATCATCAGTTGCAAGCACACGAAATTTGACAAAGTTAGTCCTGCTTCTGTTCGGAACATGTTTCGTTAAAATAGGACACGAATTAGTGATGTGCTGGCGAGTATTTTACTTTTTTTTCGACTTGATGTTTTTGGTTTAAACTTCATTTTTATTGCTCTCTTAAAAACATGTTTTAAGCTTGAGTGTAAGTGCTCCAAATTTGGTTCTATTACGACATCTGCAGCAGTCTGCTGTGAATTTAAATACAGACCAAGTTTCTGCATCTGGTGAAAATGATTTGGTACGAACCGTTTTGCAAGATTTGGCCAATGATCCATCTCGATTTCGTAGTTTACGTCGTTTGGCTCTCACGGGAAATGGTACAACTTTAATAACTGATGATATTGATAATGGTGGGCTTTCTTTCAAGGTTTTTGGAAATTTCAGCGTTTGTGATGATTGTTGCTATGGTTAGCGCTTCTAATCTCTTAAAACACCGAGAAAATTGATAATTAAGCCCAAAATGTTTCTTTTCGATTTTTATAAATTTGTC